AAATATTGTTAGGGTTATTTTTGTTTTTTGCGTTTAGAATTGTTGTCGTCCAACGCTTGACATATAAATGACACATTTTTACTCTCAAGATTTGATTCGTTTACAATAAAAGAACACGTTTGTCTATCAGACGTTTTATTTTTTTGATGATTTTACTGAGGGCCAATGAAATGGAAATTTTAGAGATTTGGGCTTGAACATTAGCCAGGGAAGCTCAACATCAACCGTAGCTATAAAACGTAGAAAACTTAATGCTTTTTGAACAGAAGTACAGATAGGGAGTTCTAAATTCAAGTAATAGTTTTTATATTTTATTATCATTTATTTTAGCTTTTTAATTTAATTTTAGTTTGTTTTTAGCTTATTGTCTGTCTTAATCATTATTTTGTTATCGTTTTGTAAACGGATTATAAATAACCACATTAACTATTACATTAGGAAGACTTGAATATTAAAAATTGAATTTAAAATTTGAGTGTTTTTTCTCCAATTTAGGACTTTTTCCTTTGTGGGGTTTTTTTTAGTTAGATCTGAACCGTTGAATCCCATTTTCCGTTTGAATTAAAGGCCAATAAAATTCTGTTCTATCAATTTTGCTGCATCAAGTATCATTATGGTGATGGATTCAAACTTTAGAGTTTTAAATTATACGGTTTTAGAGATAAATGGACAATGCCAATTCTTTGAGGGTTAAAATTGAAATGACATTTTTAAGTTGACTTTCTTTCCTTTTAGGTAAAGGAAGTTGAGATTAGTTGTCCTACCCGTTTGCAACATTCAAACCATACCAAAATAGCTCAGTTGGAGTTAGGAGGTTTCTACGACGGAACATGCCAGTCTTCATAAATATGATGCACATCTTGCTATGCAAAATAAAATTTGACAAGTTTTCTATAAAAACAAAAAAAAAACAAAAAAATTGACACGTAAGATTTTCGAGACAAATGCGCTGATTATTTTCTTTGAGCAATTCTATGTATTTTGATTTTATAAAACAACAAACAATAAAATGACGGAATCTTTTTTTTAGGAGCTTGAATTAAGCCAACAATTTTAAATTAAACTAACAGTTCAATTCACTATTTAGAATTTAACTCTTCAAAATTATGAATTTATATGGTAGTATCGCTAGTGAAGTTGATTTTTTTTTAATTTGTGTGGAAGGTGATTTCCAACGGTCGAATTTGTATTAGAGGATTAATGATCAATTCACGAAGTAGTAGATGTTTAATCCGTTTATCTACAATTGGCCTAGCAAGTATGCAATAAAATAAAATGTGAGAATTAAAGAGAGACGCCGGAATTTACAGTGGTTCACTCATAATGAAATGTTATATCCACTGTAGTGTATGGATTTTCACTATGAGTGTAGAAAATATTACAAAAAAGCTTAAAAAAGCTTGAGAGAGAGACAATAATGGAGGAAAGAGAGAGAGAGAGCGGCTTTAAGGCGTATTTTGAAGTAATGCGTAAGTTGGGATCCTCTTTGTGCTGAGGAAAGGCCTCCTTTTATAGTTGTAAGCTCTTGCTGTTCATTTATGTTTAGTTTTTCTTTCTTGAATAGAGTTGACTTTTCTTATTGTGTTTTTATTCTTATTTCCTTGTAGATTTCGTATTTTCTGGGATTTAAACCGTCTTTGGTGCGATTTGATAGCTTCCCAAAATCTTGAAATAGAGTGTTTCGCGGAAGACTCTCATAATATTTCTTAGGACGGTCGACTCCTCTACTATGTCAAGTAGTTGTGGTTGACTCCAGATGTTGCAGTTGTTTTGAGTTGATATTAGATTTGGGTCGTCTTCTAATAGTCATAAGCTTCTGATTCCTTTTGAAAGGTCTACTCGGCTGATAGTCTTTAAGTCTAGTCGACTCGAGTTGACACATATACGGTCGAGATTGAGTGGTGAAATCTGACCTCAACAGTAAGCCATCTGCCAAGAAGCTCGACCAAGAAGCTCTTTCTCCTCTCCCTTGTGTTGTCGCCATCTGCCAAAGAATGACCCAGGTGATCTCAAAACTTTTTCTTGAAATTTCTGTTGGTCTCCGAATCGAATTCGGATGCGGAAGCGTGGGGGGAGCGGATGGTGTATAACAAAAATTTTCATAAAACCTTTGAGATACTCTATAGATTATATTAATTTATGCATAAATAAATTAATCACATTAATTTATTTATTAAGAACTCAATTATGAATAATACCTGGTGGCCGATTAGGATGATAACTTGAGTTCTTTGACCTCGAACAATCCTTGCTCCAAAGCTTTGTGTTTAGAAAACCAATGTCTACCACGTCAATTCTTAGAATCCACGAAGACGTGTATATGGGCACACATGAGACAAAACGGGTTATAATAAACACTCGAATTTCCACAAACACCAATGCATGCACGATGTGAAATTTTTGGAGAAAATTTTTTCCTTCCCTTGCTCTAAGAGAATTTCGGCCATAATACTTTATTAGGTCAAAAATCATTTCGAAAATTATCTCAAAAATTGTGTCTACAATTTTCTACTATTCTCTTATTTATAGAGTAGAAGTCAAACTTCTAGAATGAATCTAATCTCTATCTCCAAGATAAAGCTTGTTAATTATCTCCTATTTGAATTTCAAACAAAATCTCTCATTCACTTATCCTTAGTGTGGCCGGCCACCTTAGGGAATTCTCATCCTTGTGTGGCGCCAATTTGCAGATAGGGAAGGAAGAGAAAATCATCCTTTATCCTGTAGTCCAATTTTGACTCAAATTCAAATTTCAATTTAAGTCAAACTTAAATTATTTTGAATTCTAAATTGAACAACTTATCAAATAAGTTTAAATGGATAAATCTAGATGTGTTCAAATTTAAATTTAAATAATCACATTATTTAAATAATAATTAATTCTCAATTAATTATTTTCGAGTGTTTAATTTTAAAATTTCGTAATTCTAAATTTTCTATTTTGCCCTTTGTGTCTGGTAGAATTACTAGGACGACGCGGGGACTAATGAACCTATAATCCCGAGCTCCAATAAAATTAATAATTAATTAAACACTTTAATTAATTAATTAATTCTATTAATTCCAATAGTTACTCCACTATAAACTTGGAATTGCACTATCGAAATTATAGACATAAATTACTTCTAAAATGTGAAGTGTCCATTTGATATAGTCACTGCATATAGATCAAATCCTCCAGAAATAATTCATAATTAGAGCAATGTAAAATCCGTTAATCTCTCTAATTACTTCTTTATCCTTGAGTACTATTGATTCTCTAATGGACAGTGATTCATAAAACACATTCATGAATCGGAGCTCCTACTGGTCCAAGTACCGAATCAACCCTCAAGCGAATTATTTATCTACTTCTTTCTCAAGAAGGAATGGATTCCATCTTGTATAATAACATCCCGGCTACCTACTTCATCATGTTTCCAAAATACAAGGAATAGGATTCAGGATCTCAGAATCCGTACCGAGTAAATTAAAAGACACAAATCTATAAATAGGAGTATGTTAAGAACTCAAGATTAAGATCATTCTTTATATGACCATCGGTAGACTCAATTAGAATTTCTATACTTTACGAAAATTATTAGAAATTCATATTGTGTCTGTGTCCTTGTTTCACATAATCTCATTATGTGAAATACGCTCATTCAATATCTCACCATATTAACAGTGCGGATAACACCGTTCCATTCTAAATGGGAATGACATGTATTAATAATGTTTTACTTAAAGATTCTGAACTTTAATTAAATTCATTATGGACATTGCTTTTTGATTATTATCCTTAAACATTATCCTCTCGTATATAACACTTATATACAATGTTTAAGGTTATATAAATAATCATGAAATTTTTATTGATATTTATAAAATATTCATAAATATATACACATAAAATAATGAATAAACTATTTTATTATATAAATAATAAATATCTTATTATATCTTATACTTATAGGATACTATTCCCAATAATTTCTTCCTTGTTTAGGCACGATTCTTGTTATGGATGCCTTTTCGCATGTTGCCTTCTTGATTTTTGGTTTAGAACATCGTTTTCTAGAGCTTGTAATAATTGGTTCTTGTGGATTCCAAGTTGCTTGAGTTGTTTTTTCTTCTTTCCCTGTCTTTGTCCTTGAAAATAATATGAACAAATCTTGACAAAGTTTTAGGAATCGTACCTGATTACGGCTTCTTTTCTTAGAGCGTTATTTAATTTTTTTTGTAATTAAAAATTTTAAAAAAATATCACATTTACACTTAAATTAAAAATTTAAATTCACAAAATAAACGAAGCATTCAAAACTCAAAAATAATAAATTTGTAGAGTTGGGAATCTTGTTACCTTGGCAATGGCCATAAATACGTGCATATCTCGAGACGCAATTGAAATTGGACTTGTAAGAATATACTTTTTTATATATTATATTATTAATTGAGAATTTTCTGAGACATGCTCTGCATTTTTTCTTTCAGCAATCTCTCTCTGTTTTTTTTTTTTTAAGGAATACTCCTCTTATTATTATTATTATTTTAAAGGAACACTCCTCTTATTTTGATTTTATGCTATAATATTTATGTATTATTCATTTCATCGATTTAAATTTTTAATTTTAAATTTTTACAGTTAAAATTTTTTAAAAAATGTCATATTTAATTTTTTTTTATTACAATTAAAAATTCTTATATCAATTTAAATTAAAAATTAAAATCTGTAAAAGGAAGAGACATTAGTATTAAAAATGAAACTTATCACTTCAAAACTCAAATATTGGACATTTTAAAGTTACTTTCCTACTAAAAAAACAAAACCAAAAAAAAAAAAAAAGAAAAGAAAAAAGAGGAGGTGATCATCACGTTTCTTTCTTTTTGTTCTTCTTCTTTTTCTTTACATGGGACCCTCCCTCCACTGCGATCTCACCTATTTCTTCCAGAAAGAAAAAAATAACAATAAATAAAATAAAATAAAGAAACGTCCCTATATAAAGCAAGGTAATATCTATCCCAAACTCCACAAGCTTCTCAAATCCACTCCACAAGTGTTTCCTTCATTCTTTATACTTCTACGAAAATAAATTTTAAAAAAAAATATTCCATCCAGTCTAATCTCCTCCAGAAAAAGTAAAAATAAAACAAAACTATAGAATAAGATCAGAGAAACCTAGAGAGAGAGAGAGAGAGAGAGAGAGAGAGAGAGTGTGTGTGAGAGAGGAGTGAGAGAGAAAGAGTGGAGATGCGATGCAATGGGTTAGCGATCTCAGGAGGAAGCGATTCTCGCTTCTTCTTCCCTACCAATTCCTCGACGATCTACACCGCCAGCGCCAGAAACCCTAGCTCCACCGTTCTTTTCCCGGGCCGGCCCGTTTTCTCGACCCGGATTCGGGCGACACCGAGGGCTTCTGCGGCGGCGGCGGTGGTCGGCGACCGGGTTGCGGAATTGAGCTTCTACGAGCTGCTGGGGATCCCGGAGTCGGGATCGTTGGGGGAGATAAAGCAGGCGTACAAGCAGCTGGCGAGGAAGTACCACCCCGACGTATCGCCGCCGGGTCGGGTCGAGGAGTACACGCGGACGTTCATTCGGGTCCAGGAGGCCTACGAGACGCTCTCCGATCCGCGCCTCCGAGCCATCTACGACCGCGACATGGCCAAGGGGCTTCACCTAGCTTTCTCCGCCCGGAGAAGATACCAATCCGACGAGGTATTTTTGTTTTTTATGGGTTAATTAATGTGATTTTTGCTTATTTTTTGGGTTAATTTTATTTACGGCCATTGAAATTCGATTTTAAGAGTTTCTAATGCTGTTTCTGACTCTCTGAGGAATGCAATTTTGTCGGATTTGGGTTTGTAGAGTCACAAATTGAAGGTGGAGAGAAAAACAATTTGAGAAATTAAAGAAAATTAACAACTTCTAGTGCTTGTAATCAATTTCTTCAGAAAAGAAAATAATAATGGAAGGAGTAATCTGATAAAATCAACTTTTACCAATCCAACAATAAATTTTTATTTTTATTTACTTTTGTTTTTTTATGGGTTAGTTTTGTGATTTTCGCTTCTTTTTTGCGGTTAATTTCAGTTACACTATCGAAATTCCTTTTTGAGAGTTTCTAAATACTGTCTCTGTTCAATTTCGTCGGATTTGGGTTTATAGAGTCGCAATTGAAGCATGAGAGAAAAGGAAGAGAAAAAGAAATTATAGAAAAAATAAGTAATGGGAGTAATCGGATATGAAATTTGTGAAATTGGAGTTTCGGTTTTCATCTGTTGGGTTGTTAATTTCTTGTTGGTGTACTGATATGGGAAAATCAAGTGTATTTGTGATCTTATTCATCTTCTTGTTTTGATGATAACTGATTGTTTAATTTTCTAGAAATTTATCTTGGCTTAGATCCCACTGCTTGTCTTTATTTAATAATAAAAAATAAAAAAAAAGTTGACGAAATGACACAGAATTATGACATAAGTTGTCAGTTGAGATAAATTTCTAAGATTGTGGACTTTGGTATCACTATATGAAGTACTGGGTCTAAATATAAAGTGGTTTCCTGGGTCTGTTTTAGTACGATGGTCAGCTAGTTGTATTGTTTTTTCTTGTTTTCTTTCTTTTTCTTTTTTATTTTTTCTTTTTAAATCAATATTATATTTCTTTTTTGACTCAAAAAGAAAAAGTGTGTGTGTTTAGAAGAATGGTGTTTCATGCCTCTTCCTCCTCTTCTTCTTCTTCTTCTTCTTCTTCTTCTTCTATTTATTTTTTTAGTTTTTGTTCTGCTTCTTCGGCGTGAATATTAAATGCGTTTTGAGAAAGACTTTCTTCCTTTGCCTTTCTGAGTTATTGCTTTGCCTTTTAAGAAACCAATATCGACCGGCCCAACAACACTCTGAAAGTTGGTTTTATAATAATGATAATAATAATTACATCAGATTAAAAAAATAAAACTGATATAGATAAAAAAAAAAAAAATACAAAGCTAACGGTAATGTATTAATTTATCTTTTCTAATCCCGTTAGAGAAACTTCTAATAAATATTGTGGAAAGGAACCATGTGGAGATCCAAGTTACAGAGGTTTGACGGGTTGCATTTGGTTTATTGTTTTCTTCCCCCTGGTTTTAAAACTGGAATACGTAATAAAAATTACAAATTGCTAACAATTCATATGAGTGACGGACCTTCTTTAATCATTTCAATGTAACGTATCATTAGCGGAAAATACTATTTCTTGATCTACAGAGGAGAAAGAAGTATAGAAATATCTTCAGCATCATCAATGACATGATTTCCATCACAAAATGCTTTTTGTCAACCCTTGAATAGGGCTACCTTTTGTTTTTTTTTGTTTTAGTTTTTTTTTTCTTTCTTTTTATGTGCAGATACTTGTTCAAATTTACTTCTCCTCCTTGTTGGACAAAGTGTTTGACTATTAAACAAAGTGTTGGCCTGCGTAATCATTTTTGTATTTTTGTATTTTTTTTTTTTGTTTGGATTCAGGGAATGGAAGAGAAAAGTGAGTGGAAAAGTCATTGGCAATCTCAGCTATCAGAGCTTAAAAGGAGAAGCGTGAACAAGGATTCCAGAGGTAACATGTCATGGGGAGCTAGAATGCGCCGGCGAATGGAGGATTTATAAGAGTTCCTCTAATAATCTCTCTTTGTATATAATTTATAAGAGTCTTCCAATTACTGAACATCATTATCTACTTCCTTGCTGCTTTGCAACTCTGCAATGCAAAGAAAGTATTCAATGTACGAAATAGCTAGTTTCGATCCAGATTCTGTAACTTCTAGCTCTAGCTATGTTCCAAATTATAATTTAGTGTGCAAAGCGTTTTGAGATAGTACCTTTTATTCATCTTCTAGTCATGATTTTCAATAATGGTTTCCCCACAAGAACAACTAAAAAAGATTAATCCCAAAAAATACTTTTTCAACTCCGCACCAAATCCTATCATGGTCCCTTATTTTTAAACGTCTTCAAAATGATCTCGGACTATCTGTGTTAAATATGGGTAGAGAATAAATTATGTGTCTACCAATAATTTACGTGCCACCCAGGGATTAACTTATTGAATAATGGTTTGGGTTGATATTCATATTTTGTTCTTAGTATATTCTAAGGGCCTGTTTAGTTCTTGATTCGAGTTGAGATATGATTTTATGTGAAATTTTTATTATAGTAAAAAAGTTAGATGTGACTGTTTCTGAGAGTTTTTTTTACTGTAGTAAAACTATAATTCTAAACTCAAATCGGTAAAATGAACGGGATCTAAGTATTTTCAACCCACTTTAATAATTTAATCATCCATCACCATGAATCTTTTTTTTTTTTAAAACAATCAACTAAGAGAAAGATTAACTTTATCTCACCAAGATAGATCAGATTTGGTGTAAGATTTGGGACCATTTGTTTAATTAACACCCAAGAAAAGAATAGTCGAATTATTATGCTGAGTCATGTGACTACTTTGTTACATTTTATACATTGGCTATCAATCGAACTATTGTTGTCAGTGTTGGGAATAGTGTCCTAGAAGCATAAGATGTAATAGAATATTTATTATTTAATTAATAAAAAAGTTTATTCATTATTTTTATGTGCATATATTTATGAATATTTTATGAATATCAAATGAAAATTCCGTGATTATTTATGTAACCTTAAACATAGTATATAAGTGTTATATACGAGATGATAATGTTTAAGGATAATAATCAAAAACATTATTCATAATGAATTTAATTAAAGTTCAGAATCTTTAATTAAAACATTATTAATACATGTCATTCTCATTTAGAATGGAACGGTGCTATCCGCACTGTTAATATGGTGAGATATTGAATGAGTGTATTTCGCATAATGAGATTGTGTGGAACAGGGACACAGACACAATATGAATTTTTAATAATTTTCGTTAAGCATAAAAATTCTAATTGAGTCTACCGTTGGTCATATTTAGAATGATCTTAATCCTAAGTTCTTAACAAACTCCTATTTATGGATTTATGTCTTTTGATTTACTCGGTACGGATTCTGAGACCCTGAATCCCATTTCTTGTATTTTGGAGACATTATGAAATAGGTAGCCGAGAATGTTATTATACGAGATGGAATCCATTCCTTATTGAGAAAGAAGTAGATAAATAATTTTCTTGAGTGTTGATTCGGTACTTGTATTAGTAAGAGCGCTCTGGTTCATGAATGTGTTTTATGAATCACTATCCATTAGAGAATTAATGGTACTCAAGGATGAAGATATAATTAGAGAGGTTAGCGGATTCTACCTGACTCTAATTATGAATTATTTATGGAGGATTGATCTATATGCAATGACTATATCAAATGGACACTTCACAGTTTAGAAGTAATTAATGTCTATAATTTCGAGAGTTCAATTCCAAGTTTATAGTGGAGTAACTATTGGAATTAATAGAATTAATTAATTAATTAAAGTGTTTAATTAATTATTAATTTTATTGGAGCTCGGGATTATAGGTCCATTAGTCCCTGCGTCGTTCTTGTAATTCTACCAGACATAAAGGACAAAATGGGAATTTTAAAATTATGAAATTCTAAAAATTAAATACTCAAAAAATAATTAATTGAGAATTAATTATTATTTAAATAATGTGATTATTTAAATTTGAATTTGAATCATGAACATAATTTAAATTTATCCTTTTAAACTTATTTGATAAGTTGTTCAATTTATAATTCAAATTAATTTAAGTTTAACTTAAATTTGAATTTGAATTTGAATTAAAATTGGACTACAGGATAAAAGATGATTTCTCTTCCTTCCTTATCTGTAATTGGCGCCACACACAGGGTAAAAACCCTAAGGGGTGGCCGGCCACAAAGGATAAAGAAGATAGAAATTTTTTGTTCAAAATTCAAATAGGAGATAGATATTTGATTCCTTTTTTAAGTTTGACTTCTACTCTTTAAATATGAGAATGATAGAAAATTGTGGACACAATTTTAAAAACATTTTTCTGCCCTAACTTGTGAGTGTGGCCAAAATTCTCAAAAGGAAAAAGAGAGGAAAAATTTTTCTTCCAAAAATTTCACATCGTGCATGCGTTGGTGTTTGTGAAAATTTGAGTGTTTTTAAAACCTATTTTGTCTCACGTGTGCCCACACACACGTTTACGTGGAATCAAAGAATTGACGTGGAAGACTTTGGTTTTCTAAACACAAAGATTGGAGCAAGGACTGTTCGTGGTCAAAGAACTCAAGTTATCATCCGAGTCGGCCTCCAGGTATTTTTTCTAATTGAGTTCTTAACATATAAATTAATGTGATTAATTTAGTCGCACATAAATTAATATAATTTATAGAGTATCTCAAAAATTTTATGAAATTTTTGTTATACACGATCCGTCTCTTCACCACGTTTCTGCATCCGAATTTGATTCGGTGACCGTTGTAAATAGGAAATTTAAGTAATAAACGAACTAAACTCCAAATTTAAGGACCAAATTTTTTACAACTAACATAGTACACGGAATAGTGCTTCAAATTCAAAAATAGTGCTTCATGAAAAAAGGGCAGAAACAAAAACAAAGAAGATAAAAACATCATATTCAATGTGAGTTGTTGGGCTGATAAGATTGTTTGTCCCCCCATGTTGTGGACCTTGAATGACATGTTCAATCTCAATAAAGTACAATAGAACCAACGGATGAGATTTTTTTTCTTTTGCTACGAAAAGTTATAGCAAACAAGCAGACTAGTAGATTTGCTCCTAAAGAAGCTAGCTAATCTAGAATTTTATTTTATTTTTTTAATTCAGAAGAAGCTAATCTAGAAGAGATAGCCAAGTTGAATTGGGGAGGCCCACTTCAGTTCCAAATTGGTATTGTAAAATATTCAAGAAAACAAGTGGTTTTTAACTGTTCTGGCATTTGGGCCCTTTTGAGTTTTGTCTTGTCCACTGCAACCAGTTCATACACATCCAAAACCAAAAAGGAAGACTAGAAAGGAAAGACAATGATTTGTTATTTGTAATTGTATACATCAACATCAAGACTTTAATGGCAGATTTAATCCACTTCAATGTATGTCTATATATGTGTTTTATTAATAGTTTTTGTTATATTTATATAAAAATTCAAAATTTATTTTTTTCTTAACTTTTATTTGCTGTTGATGAGTTATGCTTATATTTTGTTGCAATACTATTTTTTTGTTTTGTTTTGTTGAAATACTTCTGAGTCTTGAAGACATAGCCTTAAATTTTGGTTTTGTTTCATTCAACTTTAAATAATTAGTTTTGAAGATTAATAATTGTTTGGATTATAGCAATATAATTGAATTTTAAAATGGAAGAAAGGAAAAACCAACATCTAATCCATTCTAATCTAAATCCAATTGGATTCGAATTGGATGCAACATTTTGAAATCCAATGAAGCATTAGATGAGAGATCTCAGCGAGATCCCTTCAAAATTCAAGGATAGTGGTTATCTTTCCTTATGTTATTAGTCAAGGTAGTTTTTACTGTGGACCAAGTTACTAGTGGGGTAAGTGTTTTTACTACTGAAGTAATTTTCAACGATCATATCTACAATAGGAGCAATTCTATTGTCAATTTTAATACGGACATGTATAGATTTAAATGTTAAAAAATCAATCTAACAGTTCAAAACATTTGTCCCACCAATGGAGCAAAATAACTTGCTCCACCGTGAAGATTTCCTATTAGTTTTTATTTTTTTATTTTTTTTTAGCAAAGATTTCCTATTAGTTAGTATAAGGCGAATCTAAATCGAAGTCTATTTGTCCCTCCCTAAGTGTTTTAAGTATGCTAGTCTTACAACTTTTGTCGATGCAAATAAGTTGCAATAAAAGGTCATTAAGTAGGAAATAGTTTCATTTAAATGTCTAAATTTTAGATTTTTATTGGAAGGGTCCACTGAATAGCTTCTCCCACTTGAAACGAAATGTTCTGCTTCTAGCTCCTAGATTTTAGACTCTAGAGGTGTGTATATAAGAAGAGAACGTTACTCATAATTGAGTTATTGCACATCATGCCAAAGCAAACTATGGACGCTTTTTTCTCATTTGGCTCTAAGAGTGGTCATTTTCCTAGATACACTTTCAGCCCTAAAGAGAGTAGGCTTTTGAAACTTTTAACTACACTCAACATAGCATAAATTTTCAAAATTGAAATGCTAATGCGTAAAAAATGCTAACTACCCTCATCATTATTCGACTATCTAAGATCAATGCTAATGCGAATGTAATATGTGGCCCTAAAAAATGGTAAAACTATTATGTAAAATGGTGAAAATGGCATATAAAATATACAGTGGTATATTTTACTCCGATACATAATGATATTTAAATGCTATTTCTATTTTTTATCATAAGTATTTATGTTTTAGAACTCGTTAAAGGAAAATTTAAAGTTTATAATTATTTGAATGACAATGTTCTAATAATTAAGTTAAGAATTGAATACACAAATTAATAGTAACCTGTTGCGGTCCGGTAGATTTGGTGAGTACAAGGTGTACAAGGTATATACGTGCAGAGTCCACTAAGGAGTTTGTACGGTAGGACCTCCAACGAAGAAGAGGGGATCGGTTAGGCCCAAAGTAAGCCAAAGAAAATGGATTCTAGGGTCTACTTTGTCGCCGCCTTACCAAGACGCCAACTTACGCACATGGGAGGACTTCAGATACAGTCATGGAGATTGCATGGACGAAGTATGGTGGGAGGAGTAACCGAGCAGTTGATGGAGATTTGACTCGGAGAGTGTGGATAAGGTTTATTTAGAGAAGTGCTCTGAGGACAACGCAGGTTGACTTTGGAGTGGATGTAAGACTCAATTGGTATGGATAAGACTAT